TATTCATGCAAGACTGTGTGACATGCATTGGTCAGGTGGAAAGTATTGTTTCACTGAGTTATGCAGATATCTAGAATATTGAAACTTCTTATCATAAGATTTTTTTTTAAGTTACATTTGTTAATATCACTGCTGCTTACATAAGAAGTTATTTAAGAACTAGAAAGCTGTCAAGCCTGCAGTGCTGGAAGTAAGTTTTCCTAAATTAAAATGTATGTTTTCAAGTGAAAATTATAGGCAGTTTTAATTGGTAAAAAATACCTTTAGTTGTTTTCCTGAAGTGACATGTTTACTTCATTCATTTTCAAGAAAAATCTGCCAAAAACCCAAGTCTGAGTAACCGTAGTTGGACCATTCTCATTCTGTCATATAAAGATGGTGACCCAAGAGAACAGCAGCTAGTTCAGCTTGTACCTCAAACTGTACATGTGCTTTCCCTCAAGACAGCCATCACACTCAGGCACACAGTGGAAGTGCTGGACCCATGCTTCCCATTTCATCACACAGAATGTCAGAAGATGCATATTCAAGGGTTGAGATTCAATAACATTAATAATTTTTACTACTTCATTGAGGCCACCCTCTTCACATGGGTGGCAATGAAGAATGCAATGGCCCTGGTACAGCTTGGAGTCACTACCTCGATTCCTATTAAGGTGCCAGCTATCTTACCCATCACTACTCCTGCACCATCAGTGCAAATGTCAACAGCAAAAAAACTGATGCCTTATTCAGACAATAGTTTCAACCCTGAGGACCCTCTTGAGAACTGCAGTACTGACAAATACTTCTCATGGACACGTCTACTCTCAGACGGTAGCAGCTCACGACAAAGCGTTCCTCCAGTATTCTGCAACAAACCAATCACCATTTGTTCAAATGTTTTGGAGGTTCACACAAAAGCTAAGATTCTTCAGAATCCTTCTGATGAATTTTCCTCAGAAACACGATGAAAAAAAAAAAACAAAAAGAAAGATGATCAGAAGCAGACACTGTTAATTTAAATGTACAGTGTACTAAGCCAGTCCTCTAAGCTAATGACACTGGAGAAGGAGAGTGAAACAAGGTCACAGGCTCAAGGGCAGGAGCAGTCAGTAAACCTTGTCAGGCAACACATGGTGGAACTAAGCACAACTCAGTTAAGCTTCCTCTCACAGGATGCAGAGCAGCAGTGACTCTAAATAACAGGGGACATGAGAGAAGCCACAGCATGTGACAGAATCTGAGACTAAGACTTGGCCAAGGACAGTGGGCAGCTTCATCCTTAATGTCTCCCTCAGGTTCAGTTAAAAGGAATCCAGAGACAAAGAAGTAAACAAAATCCAGACAGGCTCTGAAAACTACCTTCAACCCCAATTGCAGGGGGTACGACCACAACAGCATTGCCCCCACCTGCAACTAGGCAGCCTGGAGGCATTTACACTAGGAGCCTGAAGTGCAAGTCATCGTCAAGGTCATGCAGTAAGTCAGTGGAAAAATGAACCTAAGAGAAGGAACGAGAGTGTCAGGCTCCCTCCAGTAAACTGCTTCCGAATCCAGCAGCAGACATTACTGCCCATGGCCTCACTCTGCCCGCTGGCTCCAGGAACGGGCTAGAGCACACAGGGGGGAATCGAGGGGCAGAGGGGCAGCCACAATATCCCAGAGCCACTGGCTGGTTGGCAGTGAGCTCGCTCCTGCCCTGGAGTGGACAAGCAGGGCACAGCCACTGTGCAGTCACACCCGAGGCTGGCTCGCCAGCACGGAGGTGTGTGTGTGGCGGGGGGTGGGGGGGAGGGCAGGGGCGGGGAGACTGCCCTTCTGAGAGCTCTCCGCAGGCGGCTGCAGGGTGGGAACTCTGGAAAAGTACGACCAGAACTATTTTTCCAAGTGCAGAGTGACATATGCTGCCAATCAGCTCAAAAGCATCCCACTGCCCAAATCAATCCAGTGACACCCTCATTCTAATCTACTCTGATCCCCTTTTCAAAGCGTTTGTGAATCTGCTGATGAGAAATAGGTGCTTTTGTCAGTGTGCCATCCTGAGCCCTGGCGTGCCTGCCGGACTTGTTTTACAGTCTCTGCTGAAGAGGTCCCATGCTGTCGCCTGGTGGAAAAATGAGGAACTGCCTCGTGCGCCCCAGGAGATGACAAAAGCATTCCTGGTGCATGCAGTTTCTGTTTACTGCAGATGCTGGGAATAATTATGACCCCGCCTCGGGCTTCACCTATCACGCTGTCTACCCCAGGCAGAAGGCTTTACTAAGATCCTCAGCTAATGCTCAGCCTTCCATGGAATAAGTAGGAACTGACAGTTCCCCAGCTGAATCCCTCTAAAAGCAAGGTGACAGGGCAGGGGCAGTCAGAGGGATTAGGACAGCGTAGAAAGGAGAAGGGAGTTGGTGAGGAAGGCCCAGAGGAATTCTAAACAGGCCAACTCGACAAGTGCAGATAAAACTTATCAACTGGGAAAACAGTGCCCTTGGGATTTTTAAACACCTTCAGCCAGTTAGAAAAACAGATCTGGATATACTGAAGTATATAAAGACAAAAAAGTAAAATGTCTCATCTTAATATACTAAAACAAGAGAAAGTCCTATTTATTAGGTTACAAAAATAATAAACTGTCATTTTATATAATGTGCATAGAAGAAGAAAAAAAGACAGTAATACCCCCAAACAACAATTATTCCCAGAAGACAGGTTTTTATTTTCTACTCTGGATTTTTGTTTGTGGCAGTGTTTTATTAAATTCTAAGCTGTCTTATTTTTCGGACCTTTCCTTTACCCCACGCCAAGAAGGCAGCGGGGTTCTCAGGTCCTGGGCTCAGAGGAATGCTACGCTGCAGGCTAAAAGCAGGTGATTTCCATAGACAACATCCCAGCATAAATGCACCAAGAAGAGGGCATTCCAGAGGGAGAGGGGAACCCAGTGTTTTTGAAGGAAAAGAGGAGAAAACAAAAAAGAGCTATTTCCCAGGATGAAAGAAAACGAGCTGGCATATTTTGCATGGGGGGCAAGAAGCCAGGTGCGCCCTGGGAGACTGGACTCTAAGCACTGACAGGGCCTCCAGACTCGGCTAGACCCACACACCAGGCTGCCCAGAGCAAGAGCTTAACAGGGGCCCTGTACCTCCCACTCTTCCGACACCAAATGCAATGGTGTATTTTTTCCCTATGTATGTGTATAACAATAACAATATTATACACAGCAGTGATAGTAGTATAACTCCATTGGATTCCAAGGACCTCATTGCAATGTGTGTAAATATGTGGGAGGGCGTCTTCCCACACGTACTTACACCAAGCAATTCTCGAACACAAGCAGGGTATCCGAGAACTCAGTTCTGACGCTATCTGCCTGGAGACAGCACCAGGGTCCCAGGCTGAGGGCTGCGTCCTACAAGACTGCCCCCTATGCCCCATTCCAGACACCAAGCCCCAGGCAGTTTACCTGTGCTTCTGACCTGCCGGCTACAGATTGGAGGCTCCCACGACCTCCCAGTTAAGTTCGATTAATTTGCTAGAGCAGCTCACAGAACTCAAGAAAACACTTACATTTCCCAGTTTAAGAAAGGATACCGTGAGGGATACAAGTTAACAGTCAGATGAAGAGAGACATGGGGCACAGTCCCAAATAAAGGAGCCTCTATCCTCCTGGAGCTGGGGGCCTGGCTTGGGGGCATGTGCAGGTGCTCTGGTTCCCCGAGCACAGACGCTCTCTCCGAACAAGAAGCAGGATGTGAGCAGGCAGAGGAGACAGAGAGAGAGAGAGAGAGAGAGAGAGAGAGAGAGAGAGAGAGAGAGAGAGAGAGAGCGCGAGCAAAAAGCTCCAGGCTTCCCCCTTAGGTGGGGGTCCAAAAGTCTCTCATTAACATGACGAAACACCTGTTTCACCTTTAAGACTGCGGTCTTTTCAGGAACTGTGGATGAAGACCAAATATCCCTGGGAAATATGAATGAATGACCAAATGTGTATTTCTTATAACTCATTAAATCATAGGCCCAGACAGCAGGAATCACAACAGGAACAACCATGGGCCGAAACTGGGAAAACCCTGAATACTGTGCTCTGAAAACCACGGGATCTTGCCCGACACTGGTGTGAGGCTTTTAAGTCAGGTTTAATTCAATTTAAAGCAACAATATGATATTAATTGTACAGCAAGTATGAAATACATTTGTACCTACTACCTGTTTTCCAAATTTTCTAGAGTGAATCCATATTACTTTTATAATTAGAATACAGATCAGCAACAAAACTTTATTTTCAATGATGAATCAATGATCTGCCTTAAAGGACATTACTATCAGCACTGGGTGTGTGATTTCATGGAGCCTAGGCAGCTCCGACCTTTCACAGAGCACCGTTCCTTGACCTGTCAAGGTCTGAACTCCCCCTTTATGTCACGGCAGCTTATAGTTGTGGACATTATTCAGATAAGCCGGAAACATACAAAACATTTTCTTTGTTGCTTCTTTTCTGAGGAGGATGTTGGAAAATCAAGGAGATGCAAAAGGGTTAGAATGGCACAACAATTTAAAAATCAGTTTTAAAGGCTCTCTCTGGCATCATTTTAAATTAATACTGACGCGTCTATTTTGAAAGTGCGTGAAATGAGGAGGAAGAGTGCTGCACGCACGGCCATCCCCGGCCCGCAATGCCTCCTGTTCTCACGGTGAAGTGTCACCGGGTCCTTCCGGGACAACACTTTCTTCCTGACTCAGTTTGGAGAAGGTGAAAGTCATACTCACGAGTGGAAATGAAATGAATCATCTTAATAGGCAGCATCACCCCAAGCCTCCTTATACAACTGGTCTCCGTCAAGTTCCCCACTTGCTCCTACACCAAACCAGCCTGGCCACTCCTACAAAGGCCCCAGGCTCCCCCAGCCTGCCTCCCGGGAAAGCATCTGGAGCCTGGCCTTCCTCCCCGCCACCTCCTCCCCCTCCTCCTCTGGCAGTGCCCCAAGGGTGGCTTTAGGGAAGGCTGAGCGGCGCAAGAGCACAAGGGGACTTGCCTTTTCCATCTGTTGCTGATGCTTCTTGTAAATGCCTGATTGACCTAAAAATAAACATTTGGAGAACAAAAGGTTAAATAAATCTTCATCCTTATTTCCAGCACTAGTAACTTAGGGCCTTGAATTCCTCCATTATAAACTGAAAGGGCTGGACCAGATAATTTTAGAAGGCTTTCCCTAAACAGCGTGCTCTTTTAACACTGCTGTGTAAGGTGCTGAGTCTGAGAGTTAGGGATGCCCTCTAACGGCCGAAAAAAGCTTGGCAGGAGCCGCCTGGGTGTGAGAAGATAAACCCAAGACAACCACTTAACACTCCCAATCTCTTTCCACCTTATCTCCCATTCCCAGAACTACCCGCCCCCAACACTACACAGACAAGAGCACCGACGTGCTACCTGCAGAGAATGGACCCCATACGAAGGTCACAGGCCGATTTCTAAAGTCTAGATCAAGAAGCTGTGAGCACATGGCTTCACACAAACTCCAGTATTTCAGTGACTGGAGATTTACTTTGCTGAAAAGTGCCGGCCTCCAAGGAGTCTCCCCCCTCCTCTGCAAGGTGCCGGTAACTAATTACCATCATTACTGTTCAGACAGGGGAACATTAGCATTATTAAAGAAACCACCAACTAGAGTTCCACACAGAGTTCAAAGGCACCACGGGAAGAGTGTCTTGAAGGGTGAGAACAGCAGAGACAGATCCAGTGGTGCAGGGAACGCAGGAAGGGGTGTGAAAGACCCAGGCTGGGGTCCACAAAGGGCCACCCACTCCTCATTTGACCATACTTTGTACCCCAGCAAGAAATGGAATAGCATGTGAACCAATGCTGGCTGAATCTCAAAGGTCTTACTAAAAAAATTATCAATACCATTTCTTAAATCACCTAATACTTAAATGTTTTTCATTCTACAGCAATTTTCAGAGCATTTACCCTGAAGAATCCTGACATCTGCTCATTAGTGCTGTAATTAACAAGTGGCAGAAAGTGACCACTTGCAGCTCACCAAACCCCTCATCTCTTTTATTCGGCTGAGGAACAGATGTGAGAGTCGGGTCTTGCAGCCTGTTCCCTAACAATATGGTGCTCTTTCTATCTGAAGACAGCAATGCTGGGCATCCTGTCCAGATGCCTGAATCTCTCATATCTGGGCAGGATGTGGGGAGGTGGTAGAGATTAAAAAGACTCATTTGTACTCTGTCCTCTATGCTGGTGGCTGTCCGCTGAATTGGCATGTGTGATGTATGATGGACACAGTTCAGAGTGAATCTAATTGGCTGGAATGAGGATTACACCCTATTGGCACCATGTTCTAAACAATCAGAGTAACTGAATGATCTGATAAATCCCAGGATCCTAGAGAATATTAATTTACTGCATGGGGCACTGCCATGTGGAAAACCTCACTCTAACAGAAGACAAGTAACTCTTAATTGTTTGAAACTTTATTCCAAGAGAAGCCAATCGCTTTCAAGAAGCCGCAAACAAGAGCGTCTGTAAGGGTCTGTTTAGTTCTGCTGGCCGTTTCCCCGCTACTGGACTCCTAATGAACCAAGAATTTCCTCTACTTTGCATGAGATTTAATGAGGGTATTTTCTCTTGTGAGCTACTGACTTGGCACTAACATTTCTTTACATGTAAACAAAGCACAACGCAGGCATCTACAGTCTGCCGTTTACAGGATTGAAGAAAAAAACATTTGGAAGGTATCGGAAATGTTTCTGTGCTGAAAACTATCACTATTGTTATGTTAATGCAGCTCCTCATTTTCCATCTAACTTGGTAAGAAAAGGCTATTTATGGGACTTCTTCAATTCCTTTCCTCCAAGTTTATGCTATTTTATAAGGCTACTCTTTAACTTCTCATTCTAGACTCTATTGTCTAAGCTATACCAAAAGCCCAGCCACAAGTGCCAGACTGGCTCCATCAGAATCCACTGAGGAACCTGATAAAAGACACAAATCCTAGGGCCCTGCTCCTGGAGACCCAGGAAGCTCTATTTCTTTCTTTCTTTTTTTAAGGTGTCATTGATATACAATGGTTTCACGCGAGCGACACTGTGGTTACTACATTCCTCCATATTGTCAAGTACCCCCGACACACCCCATTGCAGTCACTGTCCATCAGCGTAGTAAGATGCTGTAGAGCTACTTGTCTTCTCTGTGCTATGCTGCCTTCCCCATGCCCCCCCTGCATTGTGTGCTAATCATAATGCCCCTTAATCCCCTTCTCCCTCCCTCCCTCCCTCCCCACTTCCCTTTGGTAATTGCCAGCCCCTTCTTGGAGTCTGTGGAAGCTCTATTTCTTAAACAGATGCCCCGTGTGATTCAGACCAGTTTGGAAATGGCTGGTTCAGCTGTCGCGTTTGGTGGACAAGCACGATGCACACGCCGCCTCCCTGCCCGGGGTACTCACCACACCACTGGGAAGAGGATGGCTCCACAGCACAGCAGGTCAACCAGAAACAGAGAATCCTTCCACAAGCCATACTCAGTCGTCCCCTCCTCAGTGGACTCGATGATGATGTAGGCCACGTTTGCCAGGACCTGCAGGATGTAAGAAGTTGCTAAGGCCCCAGAGCAGGGGGAGATCCTCACAACAGCAGCCCCAGCAGTGGGATGGCCAGTTGGGTCTGCAGGTCCCCAACCTACAGCCACAGCATAACTTCCGGTCTCACAGACTCTATCAGAACTTCACCGCTCTCCATCAGAATCCACTGGGGAACCTGACAAAGACATCACGTGGTCTCTGTGCCCTCCTCTTGAGCTCCTGACTACTCTGGCCACACAGTAAGGTGGAAGTGACGCCACAGGATTTCCAAGGTAGGTCATACGGCAGTTATCTTCTGTCCCGGCTCTCTCTCAGGACACATACCTTTGAGCTCTGAGCCTTCTTTTAAGAAGTTCCGCTACCCCGAAGTTGCCAGGCTGGAGACCAGAAAAAGGAGAAAGATGCCCGGGGAGTCCCAGCTGTTTCCCACCCCATGTGTGATCAAGTCTTCTCAGCCCAAGAGAAAGGAGCAAGTGGAGACGTCAGGACCCCAGCCGCAGCCACTGTTTGACTGCAACTGCATGAGCCCCTGAGTCAGATCTAGCCAGTTCAGCCACTCCTGAATTCCCCACCCTCAGAAACGGTGAGCAACAACACATGGCTATTGTTGTTTCGAGTCACTAAGTTTTGGGGTGACTCTGTTATGCAGCAATAATAGAGAACTGGGACACTCCCTTTGATTCTCAGACATGCGAGGCCTCAGGAGAGTCGCTTGGGTGCTCAACAGGCTGCACTTTGTAGCCCACTCAGCTGGGACACCCAGATTCAGGCCCCATTCTGTCTGCGTCGCTCTCTCTGCCCCTGGTGACAGTAACTCTTCCAAGCACCAGATGATGCTCTGAGGGACCACAGAGCCAAGAGCAGATTTCAGCCCAGTGGCCGAGTGGCCACACTGCTCCTCCTGGGAGGGACTTGAGACCAGGTCTTCCCCACACTGGACGCAGCTGAGTTCATCCCACGAGGCTCACCCGCGTCCACATTCCGCTTCAACTGCCACAGTTGAAGTTTAGTCCTGTTACTATGCTCTTAGCATGTTACAAAAAGTCCTTCAGCTGGTGAAACTGAGATGGTGAGATTTTTAAAACTGTGATGCTCTCAGCACAAGGGAAATACAATAATCCAAGAGGTACTCTTGCATTTTACTGTATTTTGTGGCTTTTGTGCTGCTTTTGAAAGAGATGCTCTTTTAAAGATTACCATGAGGTATGGGTAATTCTACCCTGATGAGAAATCTAGGGTCCCAATACCCTGCCTGACTTACTGTAAAGTGATTCTCCACTTTTACAAAGAAGGTAAAACCTGCTGGGCTATATTATCTGGGAAGTCTCTGTTGTAATTTCTCTTTCTATCCAGGACTTACCAGTTAAATTAACACAGAAGCCCTACTTCACTTAATACAAGTGTAAACGTTATTTGGAAATTTTAGTCTCCCACTGACAGCTGGGGTTCCTCCTGAAGCCCAGTCTATCCTGAACATCTGCATCTATGACTCTATGAAGATAGAGACAAAAAACAGGCTTTCACAGCTCAAATTCATATTCCATCTTGTCCTTAGTTCACACTCTGACAAGAGACAAAATGTTCCCAGAGGTGCTGGTGTGGAACAAAGTGTCAATAATATTCTTGAATCTCCATTTTGTACATTCCTCACTTCTTCCTTAGAAATGTGCAGTGGCTCCCCACGGCCAAAAAGAGGTTGTTCAAGGCCTTCCCAGACTTGCCCCTACATTTAACTACGCACCACTTCATTACACTTAATTCTGCACACACCCTTGTTTCCTCAGAGGGACCTGCCAGGTCACCTTGTGCTCTGCTTCTTCAGGGACAGCCAGGCAGACTGAATGCCGCACCACAGCTGAGGCCGGAAGGGTCCCACCGAGGGGACGGCAGCAGCCACCACAGGGCAAGGGCAGCAGAGCGCACACGGCAAGGTGGGAAAGGGCGCGGCTCCTCGGCTCCTCGCGCACTCGACGACAGCTTCACATGCTCCTGTTTCTGCTCTTTTGCCCGTCACAGCTCCCTGAACAACTAGGCGAGTCCCACCTCTGCCACAGGGCCCTCCAGGTCACCCACACTTGGGGGATCAGTCTCTCGACGCCTGTGAACAGCTGGGCTGGGCCCTTCATGTGGTGCTGACACGTCCCTGATCACTGCCAAGCTGCCCCCACCAGAGTTGAGGGACTGATCTGGGTGCCCAGGGATTGTCTCCTTCCTTCCCTCACCTGCCGCACGTACACTGTCCTCCAGAACGAGATCAGCTGTCAAAAAAGACTTTATCACACAGACACTCTTTGGTCAAGTCTGCTTCCCGGCTAGACCTCTCTGTTTATTATGAGTTCTTGACATCCAGGTTTTGCCTCCTATAAAGCTGTTATCTGTGTGACAAGGGTCCTTTCCTGAGGGGCTCGCAGCCTTGTAAGAAATGGTTTAATGTTTGCCCCTGCTGCCTACTTACTTATTATTCTACCTTGTGGAAACTCACGAGTGTCATTCACAGTTCCAAAATAATTTGTTAATAAAATCACCATGTACCTGAGCTTCCTTGTTAAGACCATTTTGTTATAAGGCAAACATGTAGAAAAGAAAGCAGTATGTTTCCCTAACTTTTGAGCAGCTTTCTGTTCAAAGTGACATTGTCCACACAGCTGTTTAAAGAGGACTAATGGTCAAACATCTCCCAGCAATGACCTGGGGTCCAGGTCTGTCAGAATTCAGAAAGAGTCCCTGCGGCAGAAGCCGGGGTCTCCAGGTGAGCTGACTCCCTCCACTCAGACAGGCCTGGCGCTGAATCCTGCCAGGAGCCAGGACAGAGCTACAACAAGCAGGATTACCTGGAGAGGGATGACAATCATGAAGATCTTTTTGTCTTTGTCGGAAAGGATATGCTTGATGAACGCCCAGCCGGTGCCAATGAGTGCAATGGTGATGAACAGCAGCGCCCCTTTCAAGCTGTGAGAGAAAAAATTCAACAGGCACCAACGGTCTCTTCAGATTCACTGTTAGATTCTACGGCTCATTCTATGATTTCATGCGCTTCTTACAAAAGACAGGGGACCACATTCAGGAAATTCATCTTAGGGGAGCAACGCTTCCTTCTAGGCACACAAATAGCTATGCAGCCCCCTTCCCAAGAGGCCAATCCCTGAGGGGGGCAATGCCTCCAAGGGATGTGCCAGCAGCCCAGAGTTCAAGTCTGCACAGCCAGCCACAAACTATACACTCCTGGCATGGCAGGAACCCAGCCAGGCTGCCACAGGAGGGCAGGGCCAGCGAGCTTGGGGCAGCTGGCTTCCTACCATGGCTTCCCCAGCTCCCCTCGTTCGTCACTTTGTGGGAGGAGGAGCCCACCCGTTAAGCGCACACTTACAGGTGAGTGATGTAGTACACCACGGCCCAGCCTTCGATGGGAAAGCCCTGGGAGGAGATGTAGTGGTAGTCAATCTGCAACCAAACAACTGCATTTCAGGGAGGCTGCCCACGCGGCTGTGCACACCCACACAGGGAACGCCATGGGACCTCGTGATGGGGATGCCACCACCCCCCATTGACTCACTAGTCAGTTCACAGTTAGGCCCGTAAGTGCCCCAATGCCAAGCAGCACAAGAAACCTACTGCAAGGTTTCCATGTCACTAACGCCCAGCAAGCGTCCCTCTGAGGCAGGTGATTTACCCTGGCAAACGGCTGCCTGTTCTTTTCTGTAAAATCTTCAAGGTCCAAATGCCACAGACTTTTCACTATCCCAGCCATTTACAAGTCAGTCAGCCATTCCATCAGTAAGTAAAAAATCTATGTGGAGTCACCCAGCTGCAACTATTTTCTTTGGGAAAAACACCTGTATATTTGAAGCTATGTGAAGCCACCAACACATTCTAAGTGGCAATTTCAGAAGTACACCCAAAATGCCTCCTGGCAGAACTCACAGAGCTGCACCACTTCCTTTATGCATCTTTACTATCAAAGGGACTCAAGGATCTTATCATTCATTCCTACATGGCTCTGGCTCCAGGAAGAATCTTTTAACTTCGATCCAAATGGGAAATGATACAAACAACTGTCATTTCTTGAGATGGTGACTGGGTATATTACTACTTTTTCTATGACAATATTTTTAGATGCCATAGGAGAGCACATGTGTGGAGTGTGTCACCCTCCCAGGTGTGGCCCGTGCATGGTGCCTCGTGGGTGCCCTCCTCCCATGGGCAGGTCCATGTCAATTCGCAGTGGCGCTTAATCTTCAAAGCTTAAGCTCAAATCTCATTCCTCAATCTTTAGAGCATGTTCTCTCTCAAATGCATATGTTAACACTCAACTTCTAAT